TTTTGACAGTCCAGTGAAGAAGTTTTCTTCACTGACACTAATTTTTTATCTAGGTAGCTAGTCATTTAAAGCGGATAATAGAATACATGCAAAAAGTGGATAATAGAAGAATGAATGTTTTGGTCAATCGCATTTAAAATCATATCAACTTTTGTACTTTTGCTCTTATTTGTGGAAGTTTCCCTCTAATAAATAACCACTAATGAACACAAACCTCGAGAGAGCACAAAACCGCCAAATGTAAACAACAGCAGTAAAGCAAAGGATCCAAATGTGTTTGCAACTCCCATAGTCCTACCCATAGCTGCAATCAATCGGAAGAATGAAGAAGCCATTTGGTTCACCATTATCAATATCAAGAACTGTTTGAACAACCTGAATCAGTAAAAAATAATCACTTACGACAAATTGAATGATCAATAATATAACAAGTGATGTAATTGTGATCCATATTAGAATAACTAATACACACTATCGTACCTCCCAACATTTGGATCAAAGCCTATGACATAGTAAGAAACAAACACCCATAGGCTGACTTCAACGATTGTAATAGGCACCTTGAGGATCCAAGAAGGAATAGAATAAGCCCAAGGAGGAAAGAATTGGAGGTCCCTTTGCTTGTAGAACACCGGAAGCTTATAAATGGTCATTGGAAGCTCAGACATACCGTTGAACATAACCACAAACACCCCGAAAAACAAGGCACCCACAAAAATCCCACCATCGGTTTCATTATCTTTCTTCATTTCAGTTCGGAGAAATAGAGTCATGGTAACAAAACATATAATCAAAAGCTGGACACATATAAACAAACAACATCAAATGAATAATTGTCATGTATAGTGAGAAAAAACTAAAGCAACAAATTAGTAATGGGTTAATTCCTTATTTCCTTTAATAATAGTAAAACATAGTACTAGTACAATTTACTAAATCGCAGTAGCATGTTCAATGAAACTAAATAAGAAATTGGCCGTTTTTTCCATTTTCCCTATATTTAGCTTTAGAGAGAAAGAAAATATATATGCTTGAAGTATATGTTATAGAACAAATATACACATCAATTTTCTTTTGGAACAATTGAGCACAAAATTGTAAACTTGGAAGAAATATATCCCTGTGTACAAATAGTTGAAGGTATATCTACTCTCTGATATATAGTTTGAGAGTACTATATCATACCTCTCCTTTTAATTATATCTAGAACTTTGTCATTTCAATTTTACTTACCTTTTTAGTGCTACAACAAAAGGAGAGTGTAGTTTAGGTAATTTTTATCCCACTTTCTTCATCTACGTACATACCCAAAAGTTATGTAACTACTACTTTGGGACGATAATAGTATATGGTTAAAAAGCATATGTTCCTATATAACAATCTTTTTGGGTTTAATTAATCCTAACGAAAGTTGATAAGCATATTTGATCTATGATGACATGTAGTTTACAGTATATATGTTCTATCTATCCTTATTTTTTATACTCCGTAACGCAAAAAAGAATATAAAATAATTAAATTTGAGAAACCACAACCTTCAGATCGAACACTCTGGCGCAGGTCACCCCTGCTAGCTGCCTAGCAGCCGGTCAACGCCGCAGCCCGCACCATGAAACACTAAACTCTAAATACTTAACTCATACAACACCAAAACTAACCCCCTCTATTTTTAATTTTGGAGTTAAAAAGTAAAAAGAACCCATATTTTTGGCATAAGAAATACGTGGTTATAATTTTGTATCGACAGCTTATGATGATTTAGTTCTACAAGGGGCTCTTTTTAGTTGAATGATTTACCTGAAAGAACTTGAAGATGTAAGCAAATGAGTTTCTTTGCATTAGTAAATACTCTCTATTGGTGCAAACTTTCAACAGCTGCCTCTTCCCTATACCATAGTTCCCTTTTGTTAAGGCAGCGGGGTGGCTTTTGGTTTTATCGAATGGAACTGAAAGCTCATCCGCCATCCTCCTCCCAACATGTAAGGATTGGTACGCCTCCGCAAATTCATTAACTTTCACAAACCTATAAGGTTCGTTTCTGCGGATCCAATATTGTTGTTGATCTTTCTTTGATGTCACCTGTCAACAATTAAAATTAGTGCATAAAAGAAGAGAGAACTTATGGTATGTTTTACAAGGTTTTCAATGTTTGATTCAAGATCGACTTGTTTTCAATTCCTTAACAACAATTTAGATATTTAGAAAACTTAGTTTTATTTGGTACAACCTATAACAACCTCCAAAAATTCAAATTTTGAAAACTCCAAAGCGAAGATTCTTATAGGCTACGTTCTATTGATATGCAACTAAATATATAGATATATCCTTAATTTCTCTATAACTAGCTTACCCAAATAATGACCAAAATTACGTTTTATATAAACATAACCCAATTAGTGTACTTAATTCACAACATATAATAATTTTTTTTCAATCAAAATAGACGATTAATTAATATTAAGAGGTGATGGTAATGCATACTTCTTGCAAGAAATCAGCTACGCCTTTTCTCTGAGGGCATTTGAAACCCATGGATTCGAAGAAATCCAGGATGTCTTCGCGTGGCCCATTGTAAACGACGTACCCATCCGACAACAGAATGATGTCATCGAAGAGATTGTAGGTCTCAGGTGCCGGTTGGAGCAGAGAAATGACAGCAGTACCCTTGAGAATGTGGACAAATTGCCGCAACGAGTTTATGATAGAGTAAGTTGTGGAGCTGTCCAGCCCCGTTGAGATTTCGTCCATGAAAAGAGCTTTTGCAGGTCCAACAATCATCTCACCGGTGGTGACACGCTTTTTCTGGCCACCGGAAATACCTCATACCATCTGGTCTCCGACCATTGTGTCTGCACATACTTCTAATCCCAAAATCTGCAGCACGTACACACGTTAATTAATACTATGCAACTTATTATTATGTCTTTTAGACTATTTCCTTAATATATTCCAAGCAAGTTTTCTTAACTTTACTGTTATATCTGTTGATGAGTTAAACTAGATATTACCTTTAGAACATAATCGGTGACAATATTTGCTTCTTGTCCTTCTGTAGCTGCAGCCTGTAGTTGTTTACATGGATGTTTGAAGTTGGATCAACACAATTGAACATATTCATTAAGTATAACAAATTGTAAATTGTAGATTAGAAAACAATACAGAGTAATGAATAAATTACTCCGTAGATATTTATAAACCAGTACTTCATAATCCTTTAAAACGAGAGCTGAAGTATGGTCCTCCTTGCAGGGTTGTAAGAAGGAGTTTCAAATCAAAATAACTTCGGTAATAAAAGCATTGATAAATTCAAGAGTAAAAATGTTGAAAGAATGGCTCCTATTACTCCTATACTCCGTAATAGACTTTAGGATTCCAAAAATATAACTAATTAAATAGTTTCCAGAAAAGTGACCCTTCGTTCCTCTCTCAGCGCAATTCATCGCCTCTTCATTCCTTGTCCGATCCACTTCTCCGCTTGCCATTCCCGCTGCTCGCCAATCTGCAGTCTTCATCTTCTTCTCTTTCTTTAGTCTGCTAATAGGAGAGAATATGCCGGGAGATGACATCCGCACTTCCGCAGTTGGCCATCACACCGCCACAGCCTCCAGTTCGCGCCCCCTCTGCCGGCCTCCAGGTCGTCGGAGGCTTCGATTCTTCTTCTGGCCAGGCTCCATAGCTCCATCTCCGCGATGCTCAACCGATGCTGCAACTTTGCTGCCCTAGCCCAGCCGCGAGGGCATTTTTGTAAATTTGATATGAGGGGTGATGCAAAAATAAAGATTTTTTAAAAACGGGATTCAAGGTTCAATTTAGATAATAAAATGGAGTGCAAATTCAAATTACTTTTTTTCTGATTTGGTTCGTGCTGGGTGACTGGGGTGCGGTAGGGGTCGGGGATTGGGGATGGGCAGGTGACTGGAGGCTAGGGTGGTGGTGGGGGGGGGGACTGGGGTGGGGCGGTGGTCGTGGGCGACGGTCGGGGGCGACGGTCTGCGGTGGCGTTAGGGTGGGGTAGGATTGGGACGGAGCTGAGGGGGCTGTGAGAAGTAGGGGAGGATGAGGCTAGGGATATTGGAGACGCGTGTCACTGTGATGGGGGAGGCGTCATTGACGGATTGGCGGTGGCAGTCACTAATCTGTGGTGGCGAAAGTCACTACACATTTGATCACTGTGGCGGCGGAGTCACTGTGCGACACAGTCATTGGTGGGGCGGAGTCACTGGTGGCGACGGGGGCGCTGTTGTGGCGCAGTCAGTGGCGGACGGAATCACTATGGTGGTGGAGTCACTGGTGGCGGCCGCGTCACTTTGATCGAAGTCATTTTGACCGAAATCACTTTGCACTATAGAGTTTTTTTTGGACAATTCTTTCTAATATATATAGTATCTGCTCATTGTTAATGTTAACATCATTGTTAAGGTCACATTTTTCAAAATTTTTAAAAAGAGGTCACATTTTTGTCTTTTGTCTTTTTGGTGGTAATATCCAGGCCAAAAATGTTTGGAAAGTCCAAAATAGAAATCCAATATTTTTCTCCAAAATAAGAATATTTACAGTTATTTTGAGAACTTACTATCATGTTATGACACTACCGTGCTACCAGACTTTTTATATTTATGACAATATACCGAAAGGAGAAGGCCAAGAGAAAGAAAATGACAAGGAGAATGTGAAGAAGTGTTGTTAAACTTTAGTACATAGTTGCATAGTTAGTAATGGGCATGTTCCGTCCACACACGAAAAAAGAAAATGCCATGAACACCAGTAAAAACGTTACTGAATTTTAAAATAAGAGTACTATATTTTATTCTCTAAATATGAGTAATTAATGTCATATTTTGACATTATCATACTTTAAATATGATAGTATTTTTCAAGTTGATTACTTATATTTAGGAAATAAAAAATATAATACTCTTAGTTTGAATATGAAAATGAGCGAACTTACCTTCATATACACATCTATATCTGAATCCGGCTTTATATTTGCTGCCTTCTCTCTTCTTGATAGTTCGACCAACATTTCTGCATATATTTTTACAAACATCCAAACAAAGAAAACAATGAAACCCAACCTCATCTTATTAATAGAATGTTTGTGATTGTTTTTACTTTAAGAAAAATTAAGTGATTTTAGAGAAATTGTTTAATTGTAAAAGTTGGTAGTGTTTGAAAGAATTGTTCTTTTGATTGAATGAGTAAAAGTTGCTAGTGTTTTGGTAAAAAAAATGTTTTTTGTGTTATAGAAAAAGGGAAAAACAATTGAAAGATCCTTTCATCTGCTTCGAACTTTTAACTTCTAAGTGTTAATGGAGTATAATTGATTAAAAACACGATCAACGTATGTTTTGAGGAAAAAATCAAAACTTAAATTGTTGTGACTAATAAAGGAGCAATAGATGAAAATGAAAAAAAAAAGATGAGAGAACTACGAAAGCAAAAATACAGCCGCCTCAGTCCATGCCTTTCATATATCTGTTTTGTTAGAATGGCGTCATCTCTCTTGTTGTCATCTTCAATCCTCATTGCATTTATGATAGTTGAAAAAAGTGTTTTGCAAGTCATTTATAAGTGCCAAAATTTAAGTCTAATAACTAGATTTATTATGTTTGCTTTTATTGTGAGGATGCATGATTTATTAATTTGAGGTAATTTACATCCAAACAAACAAAGAGAGCAGTACAAACCATAACGAGATCCGACACCCTGACATCTAGCTGAGAATTCCAAGGTCTCTCTCACGGTCATTTCACCAATGTGCACATCGTGTTGACCAATGTAAGCAGCTGTTCTTTGGGGCACGAATTCCTCCAGGCCATGCCCGTTATAGGTCACTCTCCCTCCAACCTTTAAGTCTTTATCGAGCTTTCCAGCCAAAGCCAGCAAAAGGGTTGTCTTCCCAGAACCAGGAGGTCCCAATAATAGTGTCATTCTACATGGTTTAATTATTCCACTTACATCATTCAGAATAGTAATCCTCCTCTTCTTGCTCTTGGTTACGTGAAGGACGTTCAGAAGATCCTTTCAAGGGAAGAAAACATACACAAGGTTTTGGTTTTAGTCATTTATTTAGCTTAATCAACAATAATATAATGCACGCACGTGATTGCTATTCAATTAGTGTTTATTAATTTGTAGTTTTATATAGCTAACAATACGTCAATACTAGAGCTAGGAGAGAATTAAAAAAGTCAACGGGTTCTCCCAATAATTCGATCAAAAGTAACTTTATACAGATGAGCGTAATTATGTTTACATTTGAATTCATGAAATCTTATTATAATTACATTTAATTAAGACTAGCTCTAGACTAGGTTTAAATGACTGAATGAGCAATATATGACTATATCTTATACTATCCTCCGTTCTCTTTTAATCGCAACATTGGACTTTTTTGCACTATTCACATATTCTACTTTGACTATATTTTATTCATTAATGTATTATAAATAATTTTTTTAAAAAATATTATTAAATTCTTCTCATTCTAAATTTTCAAAATATGAATTTTTTGAATTTTTTACTAATAAGGAATGAAAGATATTTATGGTCAAACTTGTGCGTTGGCAAACGTGAAATGTTGACTGTTGCAATTAAAAGGGAACGGAGGAAGTACGTATTACGTAGTACTATGGTATATTTTAGTGAGTTACGTTTTGGATATAGCTAGTTACACAGGATGTTTTCTTTTGGACTGAAATTTGCTGGTCTGGTCTGGTCTGGTCTGTTTAAGTCTGGTCTGGTCTGGTCTGGTAAACGTCTGGTCTCTGTGTATTTTATAACTACGGAAGTCTGGTCTGGTCTGGTCTGGTCTGGTCTGTTTAAGTCTGGTCTGGTCTGGTCTGGTCTGGTCTGTTTAAGTCTGGTCTGGTCTGGTCTGGGACTGAAAACAATCCAAAAGAAAACATCCTAAGTTACTTCATTTAATTTGTTCTTGGAGAGCAGTGACACTTTGAATTTTTCTTTATTCTTTTCTAAATTATAAAAAACTAAATTATGAAGAATGCTATTAAATTTGAATTGGATCTGGACACAAACAATAATATCTAATAATGACATCATATGATATGACTAAAAATAAAACTCAAAGTCATTCTTTATCACGTGGCGGTTTGTTAATGATGAAATCCTTTTTTTTGTCACAGAGTTTTATTTGTTGCATCATGAGTAACCAATAAAAAGAGGCTAAAGTTTTTTTATTTCAAATGACGACAAACGACGTTCATGCAAGGAAACTATGAATGTTTGCAAAAAAAGTTTTCACAAGTCTATGAGATCTTATGTAATTTTGTTTGATGCATTTAATTGCACTTTAAATTTAATTTAATAAAATAAACAGATTATTTTTGCTTTGTTTAAATTTTATCATCTGATTTTAGTCTGTTAGTTAATGTATAACTTAGGGTTTTCTCGTCTATCACATTTTTGCTCAGTTCTTCTTTAGTTAGTTGCAACATTCTCATTTTTACGATTATCAAACACAACTTTGATTTTCATTATATTTAATTTAGATTGTGAAAAAAAGTAAATTAAGATTGTGAAAATTTGTAATGACATGCACAAATCCAACAATATTTTTTTAAAAATGATGTTCATGCATTAATAGATAAATGCAGTCAAAATTGAGAATATTATGTATTTCAATAATTAATAGATAATAGACAAATGAATAGTGTAAAAATTTTCTATGTTACAACTAACAAGAAACGGAGAATATTATGTATTTCAATAATTAATTTCTCGACCAATTGTTCAAGAATTAATTACTAGCTGTAATTGGTAATAACACAATAAACAACACACCTCAAAGTAATTGGTAAAGAAGTTGATGAAGGAAGGCGAAGCTCTGCTGCCTACATAAGCATCTGCCTCCACATTTAGATGTTCGTATCTCACTTCAATGGACGGAAGATCGACCCCAACTCTGCCAATGATTAATTTGTTTAACATGGAAGAACTATACAATGGAAATCAAATACTCTTTTCCTCCCATTTTATTTATCTTATTTTTTTTCTTATGAAATGAGATGAAATATACACCGTAAATCTTACAATGTTTTTCCATTGTCCCAAAAAGTAAAAATACAATGGATACATATATGTAGACCACGGTACTTCACTACTTTATACTCAAATTTTAATTACTACTTTTACTTTTTAAAGTACTTTACAAATAATTGTGTCAAATTAAAAGAATACACATAAAATGGGACGATAAGATGATACTCCCTCCGTCCCGCTAGAAGGTCCTCGTTACGGTTTATGATACTTGACTGGCCATAAAACAACTTAATCCCTATTCACACTTTGATTATTTTTAGTAAATAAATTTTACATATTCAGAAACTACATTAAAACTGCTACAAAGTCTGATTAAAAAATGTAAATTTGATCAAAAATTCATATACAATGTATAAAGCAAAAGATTAAAAATGATTTAAGTTGACCATATGAATAGTGGAGGAGAATCTTCTAACCTGTCAATTCTGTTCCTGAGTTTCAATAAGAACTTCTCATTGTCCTCATCGGTGACATTCACGAGCCTCTTAAGCAGAGTTTGTCTCTCTTGGAAGCCGAGATCGTCGATATCCACCTCCGCCGCCGGCCCATCAGGGCCGAACAGAAGCCCTTTTCGGAGGCGATCAAACGTGGGCAGTTTCTCCAGCGCCGCCCACTTCAGGGCCTCCTCGTCGTCCTCGTCTCTCGACGCCCGGGAGAACACCTCGGCGCCGGCGTTCCTCCATATAGAATGGCTGTTTGCTCTGGAACTACTCCCTCGTGTAATACCCAAATTCGCAGCCTCCATAACATGCATGCACCCACTGGCCGTTTTCTGACTTTCAGAATGTTCTATGCAAATAGATTATCGAAGACCTGAGAGGGTTTTGGCCGTTTGGTGAGGTTCAAGGTGACACTTAATTGCTTTTATAGTGTGCATTTTCAACCCAACATTTTGTCATTTCATTTGACTAAATTAAAGTTGTTTTTTTTGCATTGTCGTCACTGCGCATGTCACGTGCAATTGATTACCGCTTGATTTCATAATTTGAGGATGTCTTTAGACGGATTAGTGGATTCTTACATTAAATGAGTCCTAAATTAATCCAAGCGTTTGAAAAAAAAAAAACTAAAGTGAATGTTCATTCTTTTCTTGATAAAATTAAATATTTTATGGTATTACTACACTTGTATACAATGTTACGAAGTTTTTTCCTAATTTATTTTGCAAAACACACCTCTTAAAAAGGACACACTTTGGGTCAAGTGGGTACATGGGGTTTATCTAAAGGGCAGGAGTGTGTGGGAGTTTGTCCCACATGAAAGAGATTCACAACTATTTAAGAAGATTGCACTAATCCGAGATGAAATCCTCTCCAAATTCCCGGACATTCCGAGCGCTATACTTGGCCTAAATGCTCTTCAATTCAATGGTAAGCTTGTATCCTCCAAGGTTTATAATTTGCTTAGGACTAGGGCTGCCACCCGTGTGTGGATGCCATTTATTCGGAAAGATTACATCCCTCCCAAGTTTTCCTATATTACTTGGTTGGCATTCCGGAACAGGTTAGCCACGTGTGATAATCTTCATAGATTAGATGTGGATAATACTTGTGTATTGTGCAAGGGTAGACCGGAAACGGCTCCACACCTCTACTTTGAATGCCCTTTTTCAGGTAAGATCTGGACTATGATGAAAGCATGGATTGGCATTCCACGGATGATGGGGACCCTAGCTAGCTCAGTCAAATGGATCAAGAAGGAAAGGAGCGGAGCTAATGTGCAAGCCAAGGCTGCTAGGATTGCTTTCTCTTGCACCATCTACTGGATTTGGAGGGTCAGGAATGCAGCTAGATTTGATGGTTTTTTGCCCAAAGAGGAGGAAGTTTTTGCTAGGATAAAATATGTTGTCTATAAAATTTTGTTAGCATCTATCCTTGTGATTTGGTAGTACTCTGATAACTTTCCGCCCATCACCTTTTTTTGCTTGTGATAGGCCGTGAGGTAGTATAGGGGGGCTGCTATGGCACCCTTATTTTGGCAGGTGATGGGTTATCCAATCTTTGGATAGCCTACATTTTTGCTCATATTTTTGCTGTACAGATAAACTCTTTGACGGTTTCTAATATACTTACATGTTATCGACGAAGTTTTTTTTTCTCTTCTAATTATGCCCTTTTGAAAGAAATAGATGTTTTTTTGTTATTCTTTAGTTTGATGTTTGAGATATTGTAAAATTGTCTGTGCTTTTTTCTATATCATGAATTGGTATCTAGACAGTTTTCAATATATATTGTCGGGAGCTGTGGGAGATTTTTTAGACATTTTTAAAAGATAGGTTGTCAACAATATAATATATAGATGAAGGCATTTCTCTGATCTAGATATCATATATTTAAAAAGGTTTAAATATGTTTTACCCCTGTAAATATAGTACATTTTGTTATATATCCTTGCAGTTTTCTTTTTTATCCCTGAAATTTAAGTGATTTTGTTTTCAGTCCATCACAGATGATAACAACCCCCGTTTGAAAAAAAATAAACCCGACAAATAATTTTTTTTCTAATTCTTTGTCATGTTATTAAAAAATTCTTTAATTTTATTTTTTAGAAGGGTTTTAATACATATTTAAAAAATGTGAATAAGTAGTTTCACATTCATTTTAACTCTCATATTAGACTCAAAAAATTATAAAAAAAAAATAAATTTAAAAGTTTCTAGCAGATTAATGCAACTGACAAGTGATAACAATTGTTTCCTAAATGGAGTGGTTTTGGAGTTAGAGAAGAACTAAGTTTTTTTTGAGAGGGAGAACTAAGTTGTTGCCTTTAATTTGTGGATTTGAAATTTTGTGTTAGAAAATTGATTTAGTTGTGATATCACGTGGCGGCAGCATTTTTTCATCCAATTCTACATCAAATTAGATGGTCTAAGCACAATATACACATACCAATATGCTAGTATGAAAAAAAATTATAGGGTGATAAAAATCTAACCATACCATATT